TTGCGTGTATGTCAGAGAGGACATCTGTTCTCGACGCCTCGGCAGTCTTGAAGGTTCGGACCTGTCCATCCTTTGGCTACGCGTAGACAGCGACGACCATCCGCGCGTCTACGGGTGCCTCTATAGGTCCCATAGCGGTAATGCCGAAACAGACCGACTCATCGACCACGTCCGAATGGCTACAGATTCCTTGCTACAACAGGTCCCACCCGCAGAGATCGTGATCCTTGGCGATTTTAACGCCCACCATGCCGAATGGCTCAGTTCACGTTTAACCGATCACGCGGGGAGATCTGTTTATGACTTTGCCTTGGCATATGGTCTGATACAACTGGATACTTCGCCTACGTGGATCCCAGATGTGGAGGATCATACACCTTCCCTGTTGGACCTTCTGCTGACCTCTCATCCGGACGGATATCAGGTTTCCGTCGATACCCCTCTCGGCTCTTCGGACCATTGTCTGATCCGGAGTGTGGTGCCACTCACGCTCCCTTCGCGGTTGCGTTCTGCAGGTTGCCGCCGTGTTTGGCATGACAGGTCGGCGGATTGGGCCGGAATGCGGTCTTTCTTTGCATCCTACCCATGGGGGCGGGTTTGCTTCTCGCCGGATGATCCCAGCGCTGTTGCTGACTCTGTCACTGATGTGGTGCTACAGGGAATGGAACAATTTATTCCATCATCTGTGGTACCCATCGGAGGCAGATCTCAGCCTTGGCTTGGTCGCTCCTGTAAGACTGCATTACGCAGTAAGCAGGAGTGTTATCAAGCCTGGGCTGCGGCTTCAGCGGCTCGGGATGTAAACACCAGCACACTTAAAAAGAAGTATAACTTCGCCTCCAGGTCCTTCAAAAGAGTTATTGCCAAGGCAAAGTCAGAGCACATAGGCAGAATTGGGGAGAAACTAGTTCGCCTTCCTTCGGGAACCCGTGCATTCTGGTCTCTCGCCAAGGCTGTCCAAGGGAATTTCTGTAAGCCATCACTACCATCTCTGCACAGGGAGGACGACTCACTGGCCCAAGAAGCAAAAGACAAAGCTGACCTTTTAGGCTCCCTTTTTGCGTCCAACTCGACTCTTGATGACGGGGGGAAAACACCGTCGACCATCCCGCGGTGTGAGTGCTCCATGCCGGCTGTGCTGTTCTCACAGCGCTCGGTTCGCAAAGCACTTCTCTCCCTGGATATCCAGAAGTCGAGTGGGCCTGACGGAATCCCCCCAATTGTGCTGAGGACGTGTGCTCCGGAGTTGGCACCGGTCTTAACGCGTCTTTTCCAGTACTCCACCCGATCGCTAAAAAAGGCGACCGCTCAGACCCGTCCAACTATAGGCCTATGGCGATCACCTCCTTGTTCTCCAAAATAATGGAATCCATTATTAACTGCCAACTCATCCGGTACCTTGAGGATCACCGGCTGATTAGTGACCGCCAATACGGTTTTCGTCGGGGTCGATCAGCTGGTGATCTTCTGGTCTACCTGACCCATAGATGGGCGGAGGCAGTAGAGTCCAAGGGGGAGGCGTTGGCCGTTAGTCTGGACATTGCGAAGGCCTTCGATCGGGTTTGGCACAAAGCGCTTCTTTCGAAGCTCCCTTCCTATGGGCTTCCCGAGAAATTGTGCAATTGGATCACCAGCTTCCTTGCAGATCGGAGCATCAAGGTCGTTGTAGACGGTGCATGTTCTGACTACAAGCCTATTAACGCTGGTGTTCCACAAGGCTGTGTGCTATCACCAACGCTGTTTCTTCTGCATATCAATGATATGTTGCTAACTGGTAACATTCATTGCTATGCGGATGACAGCACTGGTGATGCTCTATACACCGGCCGTGCCAATATTTCTCGGGAAAACGTCGCCGAGTGCCGGAACAAACTTGTGTCTGAAGTCGAGTCTTTGCTGAACAAAGTCGCGGATTGGGGGCGACTAAATCTAGTCCAGTTTAATCCTCAGAAGACACAAGTTTGCGCGTTTACCGCTAAAAAGAACCCCTTTGTCGTATCTACTCAGTTTCAAGGCACTCCCCTTCTTGCCTCAGCCGGTATCGGTATCCTCGGAGTCGACATATCGAGTGACGTGCAGTTTCGTGGTCACTTGGAAGAGAAGGCAAAATTGGCCTTTAAAAAGCTTGGCGTGCTCAGCAGAGCGGGACAGTATTTCATGCCGGCACACCGCCTGCAACTTTACAAGGCGCAGGTTCGGCCTCATATGGAATACTGTTCCCATCTCTGGGCAGGGGCTCCCCAGTGCCAGCTCCTTCCACTTAACCGCATCCAGCGCAGAGCGGCTCAATTCGTCGACGACCGAGCCCTTTCTGATCGGCTCGATTCATTGGCGCTGCGAAGAGATGTTGCATCCCTTTGCATTTTCTTTCGCGTCTACCATGGGGAGTGCTCTGAGGAATTGTTCGGATTAATCCCAGCCGCTAAATTTCACGAACGCACATCGCGGCAGAACTCCCGATACCATCCACACTATCTGGATGATTGACGGTCCACCACTGTGCGATTTAGAAGATGTTTTCTTCCTCGCACGACTTCCTTGTGGAATCGATTACCATCAGCGATTTTTCCGGACCGATACGACTTAGGGACCTTCAAGAAAAGAGCGTACTCCTTTTTAAAAGGCCGGCAACGCATCTGCAATTTCCTCCCTGGTGTTGCAGTTGTTCATGGGCGGCGGTAGTCACTTACCATCACGTGAGCCGCATGCTCGTTTGCCCCCTCTCCTATAAAAAAAATTGCTTGCGATCGTAACGAACACTTAGCGGGCTGTCTAAAATGGTTGTTAAGATGTTGGCTAACTTAACAAAAAAATGTAAAGTTTTCAATAGTGTTGTTACGGTACCGTTATTAAATTGATAGCTTTGACAGTAGAGACTACTAAATATCGTTATATTCGGATCGTTATGACTTAACAACTGATATTGGTTGTTAGGTGATTACTATCTATGTCGAGACTGCAGGCACTGATCATGTATTGCATAGACAAAACCCTCGGCTTCTCCGAAGTGGTCACCAAACTATAGGCAGTAGAGGGATGCAACTGTGTCTACTAACGGCTCATGTCGAGCCTTGTAGAACCTCCCGTGGAGCTCCTTCTCCTTCCATACGCTCTCCCGGTCGGAAATGCTCTGTACTGGAGGTGGGCAAAGTGTATCATTTTTGGGATTGGAACATTTGCATCTTGATCACTGAAATGTTCCGAAACACTGATATGTTTCTTTTAGCTCATTTGTATCATCGACTCAAAAGATATAAAAGAAAGAATGTTCCGAATACATTAAGTAATAATATAAGTGCTTAGATTATTTATTGTGTACCGTAATAAGATTGTATATAAAATCGATTCTCCTTCATACTTTAACAAAAATGTCACTATGTCAATTTATTATTTACAAAAATGTCCATTTACACAAAACAGCAATGTCTATGTACACAGAATTTACTCGTAAAGTATCGTAACTCTAAACTTTATGATGAAAAGGAAGAAATAGTCACAATAATCACTACGCAAAGAAATCCTAAACATAACTCAGTGTTTTCGTAAACAGGCGCTAATGAATATAAACAATTTGACAAGTGCATCAACGTAAAATGACAATTTGTTAATGCAAACGTTACATACAAAAAACGACCGTATAGTATTTGACACATAAGCGCCTTAGTGGTAATTTTTACGTGCATGAATAACATCAGTGAAAATCCGTACGAGTTGCGTGATACACTTCTTATTTGTTATCTCTATCTGACTTGTGTGAATTATAATTATTTCGCCCGCTCACTCGCCACTCGTGAGTCAATAGTTAAGTTAATCATTGTCTCAGTCTCTCTCTCTCGCTCGTGGCTCAGTCGCCTCGCAAGCGACGCGTCGCGCGAAATGAGCAAAGAGCAAAGTAATGTTTCACTGTTCCAGATACAAATGATACATTTGAAACGTTGTTACTGAGCCAATCTTTTGTGTCACTTCAGTGATTCGTATCAGTGAGTCGTTTCCGTAAAGAGATACACACGCCTACTCTGTACTGCCGCGTCTTGCCATTACTCGTTGGCTAAGGATAGAATTGTAAGTCCTTTATCACAAAAAATAACGTCCCTATAGAATGGATCATCCGCTCTAGTTAGAAAGTAATTACGGAGGCTGCACACTTTGCGATTATGTATGGTAAGCGCGCTTAAAAAGCAGCGCCCACCATGTTTCCGCATTTTTGCGTTATATCCGACTGGGACAAACTGATATTTGTCCCAGCAAACGCCATTCTGACGACGCGCTCAATTCTCGGCCTATTATTGCCCAACCTGAAGCTTATCAGTCTGCCGATGAGGGCCCTTGCCTTTGCGATACGGTCCTCAATCCTTCTTCCCCAGGCTGGGATAGCGTTACTTTGCCCAGTAGTACGTCCAGACGTGGGAAGTTTGGCATCAACTATACGGCAAACTGCCAAAGCGGCGCCAAAGAGTATTGAGTCCGTATCGCAAAGGTCCCGCCTGGTTTCCAAAAAGGTTGCCAGCAATGGATTCAGGGCCGTTACGACATCCCGATTCCGCTTGCTTTGGGTTATGCGCGGGAGTCGCGGTTGATTTTAGAGTAGCGTACAGCGCGTTTCCACAATCGCCTCCAATTTACTCCTCATCTGCTCTAGTTCTTGGGTGACCATTCCATCATCGCCTGAATCAACCAAAGTGGGAAGATCCATGGCGGCTTCCACATATGGCCGCTAGTCTATGGTCTTAGGAGCCGCATCCCCAGCTATAGCTGGTTCATTCGATGAGGGAATAGCCTCACGCCGTAGTCGTTCGAGTCCGGCATCATCAAATATTTTCGAGCGTATGATGTACCGAACTCAGTCTGCTAGGTTTTGCTCTGTGACGGGAACGGACGTATCCAGATCAGCATAAAAATTATTATTATTATATAATGCTCCGTATGAGGCAACGTATGCGGTAGACGTATGATGAGCAGTGCACTTATAGAGTGTTGTTGCGGCGGTGGCCGATGTGCAGATACGAGGCGATATTAGACTGCGCGGGGCTGGGCGGTGCGGAGGCGGGGGCGCGGCGCTGGCGGTTCGCACGCTACGTGACGCTGAGCGCGCCGCTGCTGCGTGACGCGGACGCGAACGGGCCGCTGCCCGGCGCCGCGCGCGCTCTCGCTACACTGGCGCAGCACACCGCCGCCGCGCACGTGAGCACGACGCACACACGCACACACGCACACACACGCACACACGTGATGCTGAGCGCGCCGCTGCTGCGTGACGCGGACGCGAGCGAACCGCCGGCGGACGAAGTGTAAGGCGTCCCCGCACTAGATGGAGTGACGACCTGGTAAGATATGCAGGAAGTCGATAGATGCAGGTGGCTCAGTACCGTGTTTTGTGGCATTCCTTGGGGGAAGCCTATGTTCAGCAGTGGACTTGTGAAGGGCTGTATTGATGATGATGATGATGATATTTGAGATAGGTCAGATTAAAGGATGTAAAGGAGGCGTGAGAGGTGTGTCGGGACCGTGCTAAAGGAGGTTTGTAGTCTCTGCCTACCCTTCTGGATGACAAGCGTGAGTGTTTACTATGAGGCACGGTACAGCTATATTAGAATTATTGCCAATGACCGTGATAAACGAGCACACAGTCCACCTAATGATAAGTGGATTCTGTGGCCCACAGACATCTACATCCATCCTCAATTAAGAATCAAAATGCAGATGCGTTGTCTCCCCTGAGGACTTAGATGAAGCGCCTCGTTTCCAGTAAAAAGGGTCTTCGGTTCTCTACACGTACCATAAGAAACATAACAGCACTGAGCTGGTATTCAGTGAGAGCGTGGTCCTACCTCGGTCGAGCCGACCCATTCGTGCTACAACAATAATATAGCTGCAACGTGGCTCTACCACGTATATTAGTAGGATAATACGCTAATATTTTGTGGCGTGGGTGACGTATAGGCGGCGGGAGTGGTGACGCCGGGCAGCGTAGCGCCGGTGCGCTGGGCCTTCTTCTCTCCATGTACCGAGGATCTGCAACTGCTGCGCAAGCTGGCCGACGCTGGCAAGGTAACCCCTGCTTTTATACATACTCCTATGTATACCACTACACAGGCCTTGCGGCCTTAATACATTGCGCACTAAGCTACGCCCGATTCTCCCTATGTATACGACCGACCTACAGCTGCCGCGCAAGTCGGACGATGCCTTGAACCTTGCGTTTATACAAAAGACTTCTGTGTATATTACTAGACGAGCACTACGGTACTAATACTAGTCTCACTATATACGACCGGGGACACTAGTCCTCTGTTTTGTAAACCGCGAACATCGTTTTAGATACTCTATCACTGATTTTGTTTAATGTGACTAGGAAACGATGTCGTTATTTATGTGCCCACTTTGTCAACGCGATTTGAAGTTTATTTCAGATAAGTTTGTAACTTTATTTCGTATTTGGTTAAAAACAGTGACTGTCGTAAATGTAAGTACAACTGCGTGGCATATTTACCGTACCAGCTAACTGTCTGAGCCCGCACTCCCGCGAACCTCACCTATGACACAGTTTTCACTCTGAATTTCCGGTATAGTGGTATAGATAGAAGTCTTTGCTTTTATAGAACGCATCAGGCTAACGAACTCACAGTCCACCAGATGGTAAGTGTCTGCTGAAGCCCACGGACACCTACAGTCCGTGGTTAACTGCAACCTATTTGAAATACATGAGATTACAGAAGCAGATTAACTCCGAGAATTAAAATAGAACGCCTTACAGCTCACACAGTACAGCCTCTAATTGTACTAGATCTCTATAACACTTTATATCGAAACATAAACACAGCGGTGCAAGCACTACTGTTTTTCGCCAGAAATAGAAAAGAGGGTATGAAATACCCAGACAAATTCTTAAGCTGGAAAGGACCACCTACTTTCTACATACCGCTATACAGATGATGAGCCTAACACTCGACAACCGGATAGGCAATTGCACTACCACACACAAGGTAATTTTTGTTATTTTAAAACCGAATTTACATTGATGTCAATAATATGTGTCAATCCATAAGCAAGTCAAATCCTAATTTAGTACTGATTTATTATAACTTCATTGTTCACGCCCAAACGCTGGTTTCGGGATTTGACTCCAGAGGGCGCTCGGCTCGGGGCCATACCGATTTTGACGTTCGGGCGAGCGGTGTGGCTGTGGCGAGAGGGCGCGAGCGCAAAAGTTAGTTGTTCGAATACAGTGCTGTCGAGAGCCTTGAGCCGTCAACAGTCCACTTGTCAAACTGTTCTATTACCGACGGCCTCAGTGTACACCCTGTACAACCCGAGCGTCGATTGTTCAACGGCACGCGCTTTATTGGATTTGGGTTCACAACACGGTGGCCTCCGCTTGGTTGTTGGGAAGACTAGGGCTCCTCTGGAGCGTTGAATTACGCTGTCAAGGAGTATTAGATTTGGTTTTGGTCGAGCACTTGGTTAAAATTTCTTTAAATTAAAAATAAAAAAGTTTTTGGGTTTTCCGCGAACTGTTTTATATTATGGCGGTTGTGATTAAAAAGGGTGAATTTAATATACTCCTTGAATACAAATGCATATGTTTTTGTAAATATTATTGATCATTAGGTTTGCTTTGTTAAAAAGAAAATTGAAATTAAGTAACACTGTTTGTGCCGAAGGAAATAAAAATCAATCCCCTCTTTGTTTTCATATTTTGTTGGCATTGTCGAAGATATTCATTTTGAAAAAAAAAACTTTTTTTTTGGCTATATCTTATGTTTGTCGTTTTGCTTAATTTGTCTGTTTTGATCTATGCGCATCAAGAAATAAATTTATTACACTTTGTTTTCAAGTTTACATAGTAGATTGAGTATAGATGCTCTTGAAATTTGGTTGAAATATAAGCATAGGACTACATGTCTAAAAGGCTAGCTAGTTGAGAGATTATCAGATTGAAATCAGCTACTGCACAATTAAGTAAATAGTTATATAGTAGATAGCTTGATTATGCCTACTGTTTGAAAATCTATACTAAAGACTGTCTGTGCGTTTCGTTTGGCTCTCCACAGACGACGTTCATGTGGAATTTGTGGGTGCTCTCTGCACTGAAGCTTAGGAGGCCACGCTGGGCCGCTTCGTAACGCGTCGCTGTTTGCAGACCTGATTCGGTTTTTGATTGATAGGTGTTTGAAGAGGTCGTCGGACTTCTGTCCAGTAACAGGACTTATTTAAGTGCTGCGATGTCCAGGAAGGGCATCCAGTGGAGGCTCAACCCTCCAGCTTGCCCATATTGGGGCGGTATTTTTGAGGCGGTGGTTAGGGTTGCAAGATCTGATGGGGTGCCTAAGGTGGCCTAGGATTGGTTGTAGATTCGGTCTTGCAACGTTCCGTCGCGACCCTGTCCCGCTTGCCGGTTTTCTCGCGGACATAAATCCTTATGTCCGGGACGGGGGTTTGTTCACGCCCAAACGCTGGTTTCGGGATTTGACGCCAGAGGGCGCTCGGCTCGGGGCATACCGGTTGTGACGTTCGGGCGAGCGGTATGGCTGTGGCGAGAGGGCGCGAGCGCAAAATTTAGTTGCTCGAATACAGTGCTGTCGTGAAGTCGCCCGGGAAACCTCCATTTTTTAGAGTCGGTTTTGTTAGCAAATTGTTGCCACGACCAGGTTCTTTGTTAAGTCTAGACAAATAGACGCCGGTTTGATTAATTATGTAGAATTAATATTGATTGAGATCAACGTCTGAATTGTGGGTTGTGCGCGCTTAATTTACCGCGAATTTGGTTATTCTAATTTGATAGCGTATATAAGTGCATTTGACAATATTAATTTGCTCGTGCGGCATTTGATATATTTCGGATATGTTTTCGGATGTCGGTAGAACGCTGAACTTTGTGACAATAGAGAAGTTAATAGACTAACATAGTGAAGAAGAAAGAAATTGACAGTGGGTGACGCTGCTGGAGATTACCATAATTTGGAGCCGTGCCGGAGTCCTGGTAGCTACCGACCTCAACGGTCCAGTCAGGGCAATCACATTCACACCTCAAAACAATCACCATACACGCAACACATACACACCTCCTGCCTGACCGAACCTTGAGGCAGTCGTCGCCTCAGATACAGGTAAATCTTAATACTCTCTATTTGTCTAGCCTCCCCATTAAATTGTAGTAGGATAAAACATTTTCCATATAGCTTAGTATTATAGGAAATTCTTCCATATAGCCACTCGAGCTTGAACCTGCGGCTGCTCTTTGAATCTTACGCTCATGGGCCCCGGGAGATTCGACATTTGCAGGGGCAGCTGTAGGCCGTAACATTCATCAAATCTATACTGCGCTCACTGGTCAATACTGCCCTGAAATAGAAAATACTATAAAACCATTATGCTGAGTCGCACGTCGGACTCCGTAACCTAACAACCAGAATAGAATAGAATACAATACTTTTAGGATTCCGTACCTCAAAAGGAAAAAACAAGACCCAAGTTCCAAGATTCAAGTTGAAATTCATATCAAATACTCAAGTCTACTGTCCCTTGGAGTTGTGAAAAAATCAAACTTCTAAGCCAACGCAATCAAAAGATACAGCCGTTTATGCCGCAAATTTGCGATATTCGCAAGGGAATCAAAACCTACAGGGTACTTCCCGTGAACTCAGAATCTTAAAATTTGGTACGAAGCAACTTATTATAGCATAGATAAAGGAAAAATTGCGAAAACCATAAATTTCTAGTTATTAAAAATATTTTTAATAATTTTAAACTGTTATACCTACGGATTTGTTCGGAACCCTCGGTCGGCGAGTCCGACTCGCACTTGGCCGGTTTTTTTTAAATTCAATATTGATTATTACATAATACTTATTGAAAGTCATTTTTTCTTTACCACTGGTTCGGAAAATACCTCTGTCCTGGGAAGAACTAGCAAGAAAACCAACGGGCCTTTTTTTTCAAACATATTTAACTTAACAATAATTTCGTTTATACAATTTTTAAATGATTTTTCATAGAACCAGCATGGTGGCGATCACCTTCTTCCCAGGGGTTATTTTCACTCATGTATTCCTTGATATTATAATAACCCTTTTTATACAGTTTTTACTTTAATAAAACTTTGAAACTTGTTTATTGACAAACTTTGAATATGTTCTGGGATTTTTTGTAAAAGCGTATACATTGCCTCATAAATTACTAAGTCTGTGGAGTCTAGTAACTGGCATTACAAGCTTATGTTTGTTCCCAGTGTTTAAAGTATGCACATCCTTATTCTTATTAAAGCTATTGTTACGGGCTACAGCTGCTCCCATAAAGGTCAAATCCTCAGGGGCCCATTCAGCTGAGTTTCGACGAGCAGACGTAGGTCGGGCCTCCTAAGCCCAAAGTGGAAAATCTCTAGTTACACTAAACAATAAAGGGGGAGCGTTCTATACTACGGCCATTCAACAGAGAGAATATTAGACGGAGCTTACTTACCTATATCCAAGGCGACTGCTCCCTCAGGATTCGGTCAGGTCACATGTGGTTGTGTAGTGCAAGGGAAATAAGGTGCTGTGATGTGTATCTGGGTGTGACTGATGGTGATTGACCTTAGTAGACCTTTGCAGTCGGCAGCAGCCCGGGCGGCAGCACCGCTCCAAATTGACGTTATCTTCCGCGGCGCTGTCCACAGTCACTTTTCTCGTTCGTCACGATGACAGTCCATTAACTCTATCGTACTATTAACTAACTTACAGAAGCCACTAACTCTCGGTTGTTATAAGGCTTAACACACAAAACTAACAGGGAGTGTCCGGATCAAAGGTCACTACCGCTTCGCGTAGCAACAGTTATTTCTAGAATATCAAAGGCCGCACTAGATAATATTGTCGAATGCACCTATACAGATTCCGAGTCAAACCCAATGAGTCCCCAGGGAAGCTCTACAGCAAGGAATACGCGTCGCAAATCCTAGACAGTACATTTACGAGCCGCGCCTAATTATTCCGAGTTCCCGACAAAAAATGACAGCGTGCTGTCCCAAGCACAGCTGGCAGACGACTGGCTTTCGCCTTTACGCGTTCTCA